CCCTGTCACAATAAAGTAATACTCCTGTGATAGATGAGACCTTCTGTGTTGTTGGTCCCTGCCTGGACAGCATTGTGGCACCACACTACCTGTACATAATCTGAGCATACTCAGGCACATATGCATATGTACAGACATAAATGTGCTTATATGCTGGTATATATGTGTGCTTTGATACATGTATGAATCTAGATTGGTATCTTAACTTGTAAGCTCCATACTTTATAAATGTCAGCACCAAAGATGTTTGTATTAACTGGAAATCAGATACTTATTCTTGTAAGGAACAATAAATTCTTAAATACACTGGAATGACCTCACTGCTGAGCAAATTATTTCCCATGTCCCATTCTAGGTAGTGAAATGAGTCTTATTTCTAACCCCAAACCCAGAAACAAAACTGGCAATGTTTTCTGCTGCATTGTTTGCTCTTCTACATGACTTACAGAGGACCTATTCCTACAATAACACACTGGTCAATATGTCCAGGTCTCCTGTGTGGCCAGGAAATGCAGTCTGTGCTGTCTCACCACCAGGTTTGATGCACACCCCAAAGCCCATTGCTGTTTTATAAGCCAGGCTGCTGGCTATCAGCTGATTTGCATGCTTTCAAGTAGGTCACCTAATTTTAGTGGGAAGGGGAGAGCTTTCCCCTTGGAGGAGCAGCACCTTTCATGGTTAAAAAGGTTTTCTGATCACAGAGGAAATAAGTAACTAAGCTGCAGGAGTGTATGTAGGTGTGCATACAGCAGGCAGGGCATCAGGCGTGCCAGACACCAGCAGCACTGCAGACACCTCACAAGACATGGGAGCAAGGACACTACCAGCCAGATTTCCCACATAAAGAACCTGTCAAAGCTGCTCATTTTCCAGCCTCAGACCTCTGCTAGTGATAATTGCTTATTTTGTAAGCACTCAGGCAATATGGAGCAGCACACTCCTAAGCCAGGAATAATCCTGTGCTGGCTCCTCACAATCTGTGCTGCCATGTTAATACACAACCAGGCAGCAGGGCAGGAAAACATTGAGGTCTCATCTGCATACAGAAGTGAATCTTTGCTGCTGTAGCATAATAAACATGTTCTGTAATGAAGTTAAAATTATTTATCTTCTCCAAAAACAAGGCTAAAAGGTAACTTCATCTGCCTGTAACTGCTTGCTTGTAAAAAAATCAGCAAAGCTGTAACAAGATCCATTGAACCAGGCAATGCCAAGCACGAAAAGGAGTGTGCATTATTTAGTGGGAAAGAACGAGCCATCAGAATAACATTGTTAGTGCCCTATTGAATTCAGTCTTTGGAATTATATTTAATCAAAATTGATTTTGTTTTTCTCATTGAAAATCAGGTTCAATTCAAGTAAGATTTAACTCAGGGAAGCCTAAGACTGATGTTGTGCAGGAAGCCAGGCTACATTGTCTAAACCGACTTATTCCTATCTTTACTCTGAAATTTTTAAACCTACAACTTTAAACCACCTTCCCACCAAAGCAAAGAACCCTTGTGAGGCAGCTAGGCAGGCAGGGCTATGGCAGAGTAATTCTGCTGGTCAGTTTTTGCACCTAAGAAAGCCTTTATTCAAAGCACTTAAACCATCACCGTGCTGTAGACAAGCTCTGCCTAGGGAGACTGACCAGAACAACTATCACAGAACTACCTCATTATTCAAGAACAAATCACTTTCCTTTTGGAATACACTGTCAGCACCAGGGAGTTATATTGGCAGAGGTGAGAGAGTTATTCTGGTTGATTTTCCCATGCAGACGTGCCATACATGCGTGATAGGGTTGTAGGATAATCCCCCAGGAGAAGCAACAAGGATTTTATTGATTGGGATGTTTCAAACTTCTGCAGGCCAAAGCAAGACAAGATGCAATGGGAGTGGGGTTTTGCCTTCTCCAACTCTCGTGTTTAGTTTGAGAAGGCACTTTGAACAACGCTAGGAAGTGGCAGAGAGAAGAAAAAAAAATTATATCTGACTCTGAAGCTGCCAGAGGCACTGTCATTCTTGCAATATTAGTGGTAGGAGAGGTCAAATTCCTTGAAATTCAAGCCAAATTATGTGATGCTGAAGCTACAGCATGTATAACAGGCCACGAGGACCTATGGAACAAACCCAGTGCCCCACACACAGACTGTTTGCTTTCTTTTTTTTCTTGACTGACACCACTTATGAGAGAAGCGCCGGGCCAGGCACTGGAAGAAGGTGGATGGAAGGAACACAGGATATGAAGCAAAGAGTAAATGCTAGCTGACTTCTAGCAGCAGGATCAAAGCGTGGCTGAGCTCCAGGGAACACCTGCTGGTCATTTCAATAGCAATAACAATTTCAATTTCAATAACAGCTTTCCCTGCCTTAATGCCAGTCCCTCTGCAGAGTCGCAATCTGCTGTTTCCATGGCAGGAGCTGCAGGCCTGCATCCATGGGATGTCACACCCCATGTGAGCTTGGGCAAGCACCACGCTTGGGGCAGCTCTCCCAGCTGCGCAGGCAGAGCAGGGAGGTGGGTGAGGTGAGCACGTAAACTCACCTGGGGTTGTAAGGGCTCCACCAGGCACCTATCACAAGGTGCAGTGCTGAGAGATGTTGCTCAGAACACAATCCCAAACACTCCCTCACCCTGCAGGCACTTGGGTAGTCCAAAGCAAGCACACCAGCACCAGCTTGCTTTGTCCAGAGGAAACGTGATTCCCATCAGAGCCCAGATGCTGCTCAGAAGGCAAGGGCTGTGAGGAAGGGCAGCATCATTTACTAAACCCACTGATGCACCTGGGACAAAAAAAATCTAGTGACTTCAGAGATCTGAGAAAAGCACATTATGCCTGAAACATTTTCCAGCCGCACCAAGTGGCCTAATTAAGTACTTTTCTCCCCAAAACACCTACTATGCTTCTGTCCTTCCCAACTGTAAGAGCAGCAAAGATTGCTATGGGGGCCAATTAATGCTGCTGGCTTTGCTTCCAAAATCCTCTTAATTATGCCCTGTGCAAATTGCTGGGCCCCAGGACATTGCAAACCAGACACTTTCCAGCAGTCTCAGCTGAAATAAGTGAGGGTCACACTGACCAATGTTTGACAGAGCTCACTGCTGCCTCCCCCACCACATGGAATCTGGCATTAATTCTAATTTATTTCATCCTGTCCAGCAGCTTGAATTCACAACATGCTAGGGTTTCCTTATTGAAAGGCTACTTTGTTATAAAGCACCATTAAGAGAACATGGGATGTTCTGGCATGTGATTATGGGCAGATGGGTGTTTTATACCTGGAATGATGATGTGGGACTGTGGGATAAGTGAGATAGCAAGAGAATGTGTGCAGCCTACCCTAACACCCAGGCTACACTGAAAGTAGTTAGCCCCCGTATTGCTTGCAATGTAGCAGGGCAGTGCACAAGTCAGCACAGGCTGTACCTCAGTTTTGGAGAGGTAAATGGCATTGGCAGAGACACTCTCCTGGTTAGATATCAAAATTATTGATGAAGGAATGGGAACTAGGCAGCTAACTCTTGCCTGTGCTGTCCTTGCTTGCACATGTCACTATGCCTACTTCATTTGGTATTTTGGACATGCCAGGTCTATTGGGAAGGTTTTATTTACCTCCACAAAAATGCAAACATGTTTTCTGTACAGAAGGTTTAGGCAGCGGAGCACACTGTGCTTTTGATGGGATGTGGGCAAAATCCATGCTAGCAAACCACTGAATGTCCAAAACCCAGATCCCACTTGATCCAACCAGCACATGAAGGATGCTGACACGAGCCAGCACAGCAATGTTGTTCCTGACACAAGGACCACTACCTTGCCACCCTGTCCCCTGCTGCCGCCCACTGCCCAGCGATGCCAGGGGGATACAGTGCTGGCCACCATGAATATCCATGAGCATGGCAGCCCCTCCCCAGCAGTCCCACAGCAAGGCCCTCCCTCCTGGCCGTGGAAGGTGCCAGGGACCATCCTCAGACCCTTGTTAGACTGCCCCAGTTGCTGTCTGCCCCTGTTGTCCCAAAATAAGTTATTTCACACAGTGTGCAAGACACCAATCCACACACAGAGTAGAGGTATTTGATTTATTTACAGTTCTGCACAGAAAGGGGTGCTGGGTGGCAAATCCACAAGGCCAGTGTGACAGCTACCAAAACTTTTCACTGTTCATACATTTTTGCAAACAAAGACATTGTTTGCTATAGAACAAAGCTAATTCATTGACTACAAGTTGCCCAGATAATGTTGTTGATTAATATTCTATCTTCTATCGACAGATATTTTCTCACTTCTTCTGGTTATTAGTCTGCATGCTCAGTATTTCTCTTCTTTTGGGTCAGTGGGTTTCCTCAGCTGGTGATCAGTGAGTTGGTGGTTATAAACTCCCCCCGTTGGAATTACCTTTTACCCAGTTGGAGCTGATCTCAGCACAGTTGCTGAGTTGTCTTTATTAACTTCCTCCTTATCTTAGGGGTCCTGCCAAATGTCCTTAGGACCTGTACATTCTACATTCTTTGTGCGCCCTGTCAGCTTGCCCCCGAAAGCTTTGCTAGCTTCCATCTGGCTCTGAGGTCGTTGAGACGTGAAACCTTAACAAGGCTATTCTGCCGACAAGTAATTTCTTTTTCACACCCGGGCATCACTTAGAGCTTGCTTGTTTGCTGCTCTGCGTTCCACGGATTAAATCTCCTTTCTTGTGGATTCGTCCTGGAAGTATAAAAAGTTCAAACATCAAAGAGCATCCTTTCTTAAGAAGTTTTTTACAAATTCGCGACACATTTTTTATAAACTCGCAGCTGCCGCTGCCGCGCTGCCCCGGGGCGGAGCGGGCGGCAGGGCCGGGCCGGGCCGGGCCTTCCCCCGACATGGCGCCGCGGCCGGGGCGGTGCCGAGCGG